GAGTGCGTTTCTGGGGGCTGAAAGGTCAAAAAGCGTCTAGTCTGCACTGAGAGGTTGTTTTATGTGCCGACGGCGCAAAATTTTACCAGAAATGGCGCCTACAGCACCGTTACCACGCGACCTTAATCACCGAAGTAAGCCCATTTGCGGTCGTCGGCGTTGACTTCCGTGGCCCCCTTTACTGTCATACGGTAAAGAATATTTGCTCGAAGGCCTACATAGCCATTTTCTTGTGCGCTGTGATACGTGCTCTACACCTTGAACTACGGGCATGACTCAGCCAGTTTTATTGCCTCCTTTCGACGTTTCTTTGCCCGTAGTGGACTACCGCCCACCATCTACTCGGACAACGCCCTGACATTCAATCACAGCGATAAACAACTCGGAAATCCATCGACTTTAGCAGTTTTCTGCAGTAACCTTCGCATCGAATGGAAGTTCGGTGTCGAGCGAGCCCCATAGTGGGGTGGATGGCGGGAGCGACTTGTAGGCATCACCAAGAACACGCTGAAACGTGCTCTGGGTCGCAGCCATCTGTCCTTCGAAGATATAATGGCAGTTCTCTGTGAGGTAGGCGCTAACATCAACAGCCGCCCACTGACTTATCTACCTAACGATCCCGAGGACCCGAATCCATTCACCCCTTTACACTTCCTGCTTGGCAAATGCGCAACATGCTTCCCGCAACATTTAGGCGCGGCTATACCTCAGTCAACGAGCGCCGATCTGCGACGTCGAGCGTGCCATCGACAAGCGCTGACGGATCATCTTTGGAAACACGGGCGAAAGGAGTAATTGTTGCTTTTGCGTTCAGCCCACGAAGTGGCACCCGAGGCACCACCGTGACGTCAAATCGGTGACGTTGTCCTGGTGCATGACGACTCAAGATGGCTCGCGTAACCGAACTATTTCCCGGCCACGACAACATCGCGTGATCGTGCTGTCTGAGGTTGGCATCTGGCTCCATCATCAGGTGACCGGTGCAAAAACTTTACCTTCTCGAAGCAGGCAGTATTTAAGTTTTTGTGGCCACGGGAGTGTGTTCTAAAAATAAAAGAGAAAGAAGGGGCGGCGGGCACGAGCCAGGGGCGCTGGCTCGCTCAGTTGATTCCTTGACCTTCAACGCAACCAAACTATCGGGTCCGGGTCCCCTTCTTCGTTTCTCACAAGGCCAACAAAACACGAAAATGTAGATGTGCTGCTTGTATTTCGTTTCGTGTATTGTGTTACATCTATTACCATGTTACTCCATGTCACTTTTATTCCATGCGCCCATTTCGAAGTACGTGTTAAGGCCAGTACCATAAACGGGAAGCATATTGCTGTCGCTTTTTGTCATTCGCAGATTTTTAGCCCGATTGATATAGACAAGAGGGCCAGAAATGGTCAGAAGGAAATCCTAGCGTACATGAGACGCACTTTTAGGGGCGAAGCTCCTTACGGCGTGGCTTGTGCATTTCTCGTAGTACGTAACCACCAGTGGCACATACCCGAAATAGGTATAACATTTGAGCTCCAAGGTGGTGCTGGTGAGAGATTTCTTCTGTGCGTTGTTTAACAATAAAAAATAGTGCTCAATGTACATGCCAATGGCTGCTAATGGGGAATGAGAGACAGGAGCATTCGGCTTTATGTCAACGCGCACGCTGCGATCCCCATTAGCAGTCAATGGTATGTACATTGAGCACTATCTGAAGGGAAAGGGTTGCTACGTTATACTCGCTGGGTGTAACCTCCTTAGTTTTAGAAAGATTTAGCGAGCGTTGAGCCACAGGGCCATGAATACAATGAACTAGTATGTACCATGAATGAATTCGAGGTGGTTAAAGGGGGGAAGCAGATACGAAGCGCAAGCCGTAAGAAATTAAAAGCTGAATCCTCCCGTCTCTCATTTCACATTAGCAGCCACTGGCATGTACATTGAGCACTATCTGACAGGAAAATGTTGCTACGTTATACTCGCTGGGCGTAACCTCCTTGGTTTTAGAAAGGTTTAGCGAGCATTGGGCCGCAGTGCCATGAATACAGTGAACTAGTATATACCATGAACTCAAGGTGGTTGAAGATGGGAAGTAGACCCGAAGCGCAACCCGTAAAAAAGTGTGCGTGTGCCACCTCTCGTTTAGTCCTTGGAATGTCCACTGAATGGCGGTGCTTCTATATGGGGAATATATGATAAAAATATGCGAGATGGTGGGACTTGGAGTGTTGAATAGATGGACGAACGGACACACAGACAGATGCATGGATGGACGCACGAACGGACGCAGGGGCGGATGCATGAACGAACGCAGGGACGGGCGCACGAACAGACGCATGGACGGTCACACAGACGGACGCATGGACGGACGAATGCTTCGCCCCACTCTCCATCATTCACTCTGTGGATATGCTGCCATTTTTTATTCCTCCGTTCGTGTGCATGCGTCTCAGCAAACGTTCTTGCAGGACGCGTACCGCTCTCTTGTGGGCCGCGGGCTGCGTAAGAGAGCGGAGACGATGAGCGTCTCTTGCAGGCCGGATTATTGCATTTCTACTTTAACAAGCTTCTCTACTGCTCGTGTACCGGTGCAATCTGCTGCATTCTCTCGCCAGTACCGGGGTGGAGTCTCTACTTTGCGAGATATCCCGCACGAACAAACATTTAGCTCGCGACATGTCAAAGCGTAGAACGGATTCTCATTGTTTTGCTTCGGGTTGCCCAATCGGTAACCGGGACCGCTCCGAAGGCGTCGCTGTTAGCAACTTCCAGGGATGACGATTTATTTATTTTATTTATCACATACTGCGGACCAAGTATGGTCCATGCAGGAGAGGGCAATACAGTTCGAAATTCTTCTACATACATACACTTCCGCTGCAGTATACATTCACTGCAGAACAAAATTCATGTACATTAAAAATTCGTGAAAAACAAGGGACAAATACAGGCAAAGAAGCAGACTTAAGCAACAAGAAAAGGGTATAGTTTCATCTCGGCGTGTTGAGCATAGGGGAATCATGGGGCAGAGCATTCCAATCTGAGACAGTTCTCGGGAAAAATGAATACTTGTAAATGTTAGTGCGTGCAAATATAGGTGTAATGCTACGACTATGTTTATGACGTAAAGACCTGGTTGTGTCCTGTGTTATGTAATCTGGTGCATGCAATCCTGATCTGGAAAAGTATAAAAGGCGGAAAAAGTTAAGCCGTGCAGTTTTCCTTCGATCGGCCAAAAGTTGGAGGTTCGCATCCTGCAACAGGGCTGACGGCGAGTCGCGACATCTATACCGGTTGTATATAAATCGAGCAGCTAATCGTTGTATTTTTTCTATTTTCTGTATATTACCAGCTGTGTGGGGGTCCCACACAATGCTGGCATATTCAAGAGAAGGACGAACTATGACTTTATAGGCTCTAAGTTTTAGTGAACTAGAAGAACGACCCAATTTATATTTTAGAAAGCCTAATTTTCTCCTGGCAGCAGAACATATATTATCAATATGTGCTGTCCAGCTAAGCTTCGATGTAATCGTTACGCCCAAGTACTTGAATTCTTCTACTTGCCTGATAGCGTATCCACCTACAATATAAGTAAACTCCAGTTTTCGGATTTTGTTACTCAGACATAAATATGCAGTTTTCTCAAAATTAATTACCATTTCCCACTTTTTGCACCATTCTTTTATGTAGATTAAGTTCTCACACAAGTCATGCTGGTCATAGATAGAATTTATGGTATTAAAAATTATGCAATCGTCTGCAAATAACTTACCAGACACGCCAGGTCGGATGGCTTGAACTAAATCGTTAATATAAATATTAAATAGTATAGGCCCGAGAACTGACCCTTGCGGGACTCCAGATAACACCCCCAAATAACCAGAGGTGAAACCGTTTATATCTACGTACTGTTTTCTGTTCGTTAAGTATACTATGACCCAGTTAATTATTTCCGGAGGAATGCCAATAACCTTCATCTTATCTATTAGCTTGATATGCGGGACCTTGTCAAAGGCCTTGGAAAAGTCCATAAAGATGACATCAACCTGTCCAGACTTGTCCAGAACTTTGGAGAACTCGTTAACAGTTGCTAATAATTGTGTGGTGGTAGATAATCCCCGTTGGAAGCCATGTTGAATTACTTTATTTTGTTCAAGAAAGGTATTTAAATATTTCGCTATAATATGTTCAAGTAATTTGCAACAAATACAGGTAAGGGAGATTGGTCGATAATTGCTGACTAATAATCTGTTACCTTTCTTAAATACTGGAATTACACGTGCTAGCAGCCAATCGTCGGGCACTGAACAAGTTTTAATTGAAACATCAAATATTATTGCTAGGAATCTAGCTATAATTTCAGCATACTTTTTTAGAAAAACAGGTGGGATACCGTCCGGGCCAGTCGATTTTTTTACGTCTAGCCGCAATAATAGCTCTGTCACCCCTTCCAAGGATATATTTCTTAGGCTTGAAGGACCTGGCACCGTCATAATACTCAAGTTTTGTGGTCTTGAGAAAATGCTCTGAAAGTAGGAATTAAATGCGTTTGCTATTTCGTTTTTATTTGTGACAGCGGTTTCTCCGTTCATTATTTCATCAGGGATACGGTTGTCTTTGTTTTGCAAGAACTGGTAAAATTTTCGTGGACTCTCTGCCGCAAAGCGGCCTAGTGTCTCGGTGTAATAATGTTCCCTAGCCTCCTTCAACTTGGATGCTAAAGTATCTCTTAGATCGTGCAGAACTACATCATTAGCTATATTTTGCTTTCTTCGCCTTTTAATTTTGCGTTTTAGGTGAATTAGATCGCGCGTTATCCAGGGGTTTGTACGGCCAACTTTTTTAAGTTTATCTGGAACGAAATTGCGAATGCAGAAGTGGCAATAAAATTTGAATCGTGTCCATAGCGAGTTAACACTGTCGTCGCAAAATGATAGCAAAGCTTCTTCTAGGTAGTGAACAATCTGGAAATCGTCTGCAGCAGAATACTGTTTTACAACTACGGGCTCAGGTCTAGATGACCTTGTTCTACGAGGTAAAGAACAATTGAAATTGACCAATTGTGATCAGAAATGCCATCTAAAACTGTTGCCATACAGGATTCAAAACTTGTGGAACAGAAAACGAGATCTAGTATTGAAGAAGCTGAACTTGTCACGCGCGTAGGATCAAGGACTGTTTGCGTAAGGGAGTAAGCAAGCGACATGTTTAGTAATATTTCAGCACTCTGCACATCAATAGAACCACATTTCATCGATTCCCAATGCATGGGTTACCAGCAATTACAGCTTTACAAAAAACACTTTCGTGGCAGCTATTATTATCAGGCAAGAAAACGGACGATACCTCGCGTTTAACAAGGATAGCAACTCCGCCCCCTCTTTTTTGACGATCTTTCCGATAACATGTGTGTGAAGGAGGAAATATGCAATTATCTGGAATTCGAGGGTGCAACCACGTCTCCGATATTACTGCTACGTGTGGGTCGTAAGAAAGCAAAAGGTGCTCGAGTTGCTCTTGCTTGTTGCATACACTTTGAGCATTCAGGCAGAGCAATCGGAAAGTCTTTTGCGCATGCTCAGTTTTATTTTGGGTTTGTCATTTTTCCGCGTGGGAAGACTTACGTAGAAACACCCTGCGACCAGCTGGGTCGTCCCACCCATAAACGTTATCGTTTAAAAACAACTTGTCATGCACCAATTGCATCTTATCACCAGTACGCTTGTCCTGTAATCCAGATTGCCAGAACTTATTTCTTATGCGCTGTGTGGCTTGAGAATAATCGTGGGAGATCGACACTTCAGAACCTTTGAGCTTTGGACAGTTCCTGAACAATTCCATTTTTTCGTTGTAGTCGTACAGCCGGAGGATAACTGGCCTGTGGCGGTCTTTTTGCAGCCTTCCTATTCGGTGAATTCGTTCTACAGACCTGACGGAAACACCATGTGTTCCGCCGAAAACCTTACGCAAAACCTTATCCTCTAGATCCTGCCTAGTTTCTTTTGGTTCCTCAGGAATTCCGAAGACGACTACATTGTTTCTGCATGAACGATTTTCATAATCGTTCAGTCTCCGGTCCTGCTCAGCCAAAGCCTTCTCCAACCGCTGTACTGTTCCTTCCAGCTTCTGTATCTTTTCTTCGTTTTCCTTCAATATTTTCAGAACCTCGTCTAGTTTTGACAGCTTCGCATTTACCTCAGAAAGTGTGGCATCGCGCTTTGTGTCCGCTTCCTTTAGCTCTTTTAACTGAAGCATAATATCCTTCAACATTTGTTCTATCTCGGGACCAGGGTTACTTTCCACATCGCCACATAACAGGAGCAGAAAAACAGACCAGCAATCTATGACAACATGAATACATCTTTGAGGGCACGGTAGCACTATAACAATGTATGAACTTGAACGAAATCCAGAAAGCGTGTTGTAAAAACTGACCTGCACAACAAGCCAAGCAGAATCAAACATGCTGCTCCGACGAGTGCCGCCGTGCCCTCTGAGAGGACAGGGCTCGACCGGAGACTTTATATCCTGTATGGTTGGCGTCACCGAGTTGTGCAGCCAATTCGGTGTCCCGTCCGCTGAGTCGATGAAAAGATGATCAGCCCGTGCAGGCGTTTTCCACTTGTGCGATAAATCGGCAGTGCACAGCGCAGGCCCAGAATGAGCGGGTTGTTTGGCACATGGCAGCGGTCGGATCAAAAATACAACCTGCACAACAAGCCAAGCAGAATCAAACATGCTGCTCCGACGAGTGCCGCCGTGCCCTCTCCGATCTCCGTTGAAAATGGGAACGCACCCTCCGGAGGGCTCAAAAGTCTCTGACCGAAACTTCAGCGATGTTTAATCATAATATCGAGCCAGGATTCATCCTGCGAAAATATGTGCACGTCATAAACGGCTGTGACGTGCGCATTCCCCGAGGAAAACTGTCACTGGTTCCTGATGCTGTGCCAACGCTTTTGCCAGGCTGCCCATGCAGTAACTAACCTCTTTATTGTACGTTTGCACGAATCAGAAAGCAAACGCGTGTTAGAAGTAACCACATCCGAAGCTCTGCAGGAGTCTGCGACGGCCCGACAACGCAGCCGAAGCTGGCATGGATGGATGGATGGATAGATGTATCCTGCTGTGCCCTTTAGATCGGGCAGTGGCTCAAGCCACCTAGCCATAAAGTTAAGTACTATTACTGTGTGTTTAAGGATTGAATTTCACTCGCACCTTGATTCTAGCCACCAATCAGTTAGCCTTCTCCTGGTTATTTCTATCCGTTTAAAGTGTAGTTTGCCTTCACTGTCCCTAAACCCCAATGCTTCGAAAAATTTGGTGTCATTATCTTCTACTATAGGGTGGAGCCCTTTACAGAACATTATCAGCCGTTTCCTCCTCTCCACACGCACTAAATATTGTGCCTGTGCCTTCGTATTTTGCTCGGTACGTCTTGGTCCGGAATACTCCCATTCTAGCCTCGACGAACAGAGAACTACCCCGAGAATCATCGTAGATCTTTTCCCTTGCAGTTTCCTGCTTATAAGTTTGGTAGGTCTCCATGATGGTTTCGTAAGAATTACCATCTTCCACATGTCCCTCTCTGTTTCTTTCACCTTCTTCTTAACCAATGTTTCCTTTTTGCTTGGTATTCTGTTCTTGTCTAAATACTTGCTTGACAATTTTCGAGTTCGTTTCTTTCATTTAGTATCGACATTCTTCATGTACAAGTAACTGAATCCTTTCTTAGCCCAACGCTCCTCACCCATTTTCCTCAATCGCTTCCTCAAATTCTATCTTGCTGCTAGCTTCCCTGCACTCAAACGATGTCCATCCCATGTCTCCCTGTGCCCCCTGATTTGGGGTATTCCCGTGTGCTCCCAAAGCAATCCAACCTATGCCACGTTGTTTAATTTCCAATCTTGCTTGAACTCCTGGTTTTACGCACAAGACCGCATTGCCGAACGTCAAACCCGAGACCATGAGACATTTCCTAATCCCTCTCATAACAATATACCTATTGTAGTTCCACAGTGCCTAATTTTACATTACAGCTGCATTCCTTGTGCTCTTAGTCGTTACGTATCTTTCGTGCTCCCTTAGATACTAAGCCCCGTTATTTATCCATACTGCCCAAATTTATCCACTATTTCGAGCGTGACTTCCTGTATCTTATTCTCACTGCCTTTGTTATCAATAAAAATCAAGATTGCCGATTTTCCCTTGTTGAACTTCGAATCTAACCTATCGCCTTCATTGTCACAGATGTCTATCAATCACTGCAGATATTTCTTGCTGTCGGCTACTAATACTATATTATCTGCATACATCAATGCTGGTAATGACTGGTTAATGTGTTTCCCTTGCTTGGCAAAAGGGAGGCTGAATCCGAGTCGACTCCCTTCTAATTTTGCTTCTAGTCCTTGGAGATAGAGCATAAATAACAAAGGTGGCAAGGGACACCGCCGTTGCCACATTAGACACTAGGCCACCGCAGCGGGGCTACTCTAGATATCGTACGCGGAAAATATTTACTGTTGACGATGCAGTGTTCAGTAATTAAAACGCCATTCTCAGATCACACAACTGCCGCCACCTTTCGCACCTCTGGTGGGTGGTGGGGACATTGAGCTGACGTGCTATAACATATACAATGTAAACACACGCCATGAGGCTTTGAAACTGCATGTCGCTCCCGAGCAAACACTACGCTGTAACTGCTGGTTCAAAAGGGGCTATGGCCACCTGGCGTTGTGATTATCGATAAATTTTAGGTGGAGAATGAAGGCTACTAGTGTTTCTGAAGTTACACATCTTGTGTTGTTACTTACAATTCGTTTTTATCTCTTTTTGCCTTCGCAAAAGGAAGGGGCCTACTTTACTTTTATTTCCCACCCTCTCTCCTGGACACATATATTTCACTACTCATACCCTTACCCCTGTGCACTACTGCATAGGTGCTGTCCCTTGTGAGGAGACAGTTGCCGGGTGCACTTTTGTATTCATTTACCAACTTAATATTCACTACAACCCTTCCCTTCCCCGTTTCCCAGAGTGCGCATTCTCTGACAGCGATTAGTAACAAGAACTGAGAGCCGTCTTGTGGCGCTGTGGCGCAATGACCCTTACTTTGTCTTTTGAAAGTTTTGTTCTTCTTGTCGATTAGAGTTGTCGTGCTTTGTTGTTATCCTATAGGAAAACGCGGCGCCGAACCTGCGGCCAGTCCATCAGCTGACGGGGCCACCCTTAATATTCAGCTTGAAGTACGTCCAGACGGCTCCTGGTGCGCTGAATCTCACAGAAACTGTGAGTGAATCGTAGACCATTCCTGACTTCACCCACCTCTTTTACGCATAGCTGACGATATGTGTCCTTATAAATGTTTATAACACTTCTTTAGCTACCTTACAACTGAACTGACCAAGGGATAGGAAATTTGACTATGAATGATGTCGCACGCGCATGAACGCTCGCACACACACCCATGCCAGTAGCTCCAGCCACTTAGCCATTCCTTTGTCACGCTCCTTTTTGTATCAAGAAAAATGGAACAGCTTTGGAAATGACTCTTGTGCATGTAGATGTTATAGGTGCGGTGAACTCCAATGGAGTGTCATCGAAGGTTTGGGGCGTGAAAATTATTACCATTCGGTTACCCCGGTGGTGTGGATCCCACGTAAGCTGGCAGCCCTCAGGGGCTGCTTGCATCCTCGTCTCATCAAACTGACCAAAGCTGTTCTTCTTGTCCTGCGTAGAGCAGCAGTGTCTTCCGCTGTTCAGCTATTGGATTACGCCGTCTCACCACCTTTTTGCAGGACCTCACGATGTGAGGTCGAGTGGCTGGTCAATCATCTGTGGGTGCAGACAAGCCCTGCTGTTGCACCCGACCGTGCCTCTTCAATTTTCTAATCATTGTTTGAATAGGAACCAAGTTTTCGAGCAGCTCCCGCCTGCTTTAATGTGTTTGAAAGCGTCTTTCCTTTTAGTGAAGCTTAGTGAAAGCACTTTCCGTAAGGCTTCAGGATTTAAATTTTAAATTTTAAAATTAAAAAAAATACGCATTACTAACAATAACAACACTGTATTATGTCAAACTTCTGCAGTGGATTAAACAAAACAAGCCACAGTGTCCTCAGAACCCGCCTGACAACACTCATACTACGCGTCAGCAACGCTGCAAAATCCCAGCAATAAGGACAAGTTATGGCAAGCAACACGTTCAGTGTCAAATACCCACAATGTTAAATCGTTTACACGGTCTCATAGATTTCAATTCCGTACCTTCAAACACCATCATCAAGTCCATCTTAATGAACCATGATATTGAGTATGCCTATTAAAGTTTCTTTACTTGATTCGTTACATCCTATCTATCAATTTGAGTTATGTGTTGTAGTTGCTTTTCTTATGCTTTATTTTATATTCTGCATTGAAGTTTCTTTTCAGATGACGCTTTTGTGATAAAGTGATTTTTGTAATGTTTTTTCTGAAATAGTGTGACAAGACCGTGCAAAATTTTGTTGTGTTATGGTTTATTTATTGCGTTATTTATTTATTTCTGTGTGTTACTTGTTGTGTTATATATTTATTTCTGAAAACAAATGCGACAGATTGAGCGGCCTGCGTGCCAAACTGTATTTAGGAGCAGCGGCCCCATGTCAGGCTATATAGCCTTTAGCCTCTGCTCCCGATCCTGCAAGAATTTCAGGACGAAATAAACGTCACTTCAATTCAATTCAATTCAAATTTAGCAGCGAACCGCGCTTCTATAGCATATAAGAGCTGAAGGTTGACACTTGTGATAGGCAGAAAAATAAATTGCTTTGTTTATCTTTTCCTTGTGTACTTTCAGTTTCATATGACGTAGCTTGAAGAATCGAACCATGCATTTATTGCTGTTTTGGGACTTATGTTCCTACCTGTTCTAACTGGCGTAATAGCATCAAGTCATCGGAGCTATTCCCGACTACTCCAGCGGAGTAGCTTAAGCAATTAGTGAATGACTTCAAGTGCTATCCTGTTCCGTCTTATTACTTGATGGAGTCATTTCGCTTTTGTAATGCATAAAACCATTTACACACTGCCCGCATACATTGTCACAAGCACCTCCACACGCATGCGCAGTGCCTGTCGATGGTGCTCTACAAGACGCTCTGCTCGCACGCGGAGGAGACCCTCTCGGCGGCACTGTTCACGTTCTCGTTCGCCTACTCCATCGCGGGTCTCTACATGCTGCTAAACGGCATCTTCAACACGCCCTCGTCTGATATGCCCAGCCACCCTTCTGCGTTCATGGTGGGTGCACCGAACGTATTACAATTCACAGGGTGGAGCATGATGCACAATTATATGTGTGCTATAGGCTGCAGTATATAGAAGCGCACTTTTGATGAGCAGGTCTACGAGCTGCTGGTCATGCATACGCCAAAATAAAGTTTGCCACAATTACGTAGAAAAAAAAACTGGCACCGTATTTTATTTATTTATTTATTTTCAATACTGCCAGTCTCATTCCGAGACCACAGCAGTTGGGCGTACAGATTGTACATGCAGGTGGTACATTAACAGCGCAGAAAACAGAAACAGGAATGTAGTGAAACGACAGTCATCACAAAGTATAAGAGCGAAAAATATACAAATTGTTTACATCTGCAAAGTCAAAGAAACTATCACCAAAAAGAAGAGAAATTTTGCATGAAATGCAGTGGTACACAGGCAAACAAATAGCAAACTTCCAAACACTCCAGTGAACACTTGTACACTCCACTAATACGCTTTCACTGGTGGCGCAATGCTTCTGGTAATGCGAGTATTGCCGCATTAAGAGAACATATTTTCTAATTTTAGTGCAAAGTCGGACAGCGATTTCGCACTAGTTCTGGAGGAATCCAAACAGTTCCATTCCCTTATGGCAAGTGGAAAAAAGGTGTGCTTGAACGTGTCATTGCGGTAAGAGTACTCTTTCAGTGTGTGTGAATGTTTGTGCCTAATAACGCAGGGAGTCTGACGGACGGATGTACAATGATGGGTCAATTTTATAATGGTTGTGAAGTAGCTGAAAAAGAAATTTAAGGCACGCTTGTTTTGCTCGAATCGCAAGTGTTTGGAGGCCAGAGCTTGCTAACATATTTGTAGGAGAATCAGTACGCTTATATTTGTTGCAGATGAATCTTGCTGCCTTCCTCTGTACATTTTCTAGCTTTTGAATATTAGTGACTGCATAAGGAAACCATACTGTGTTAGATTATTCTAATACCGGTCTTACGTAAGTAGTAAAGGCTAAAAGCTTGGTTGAGTGAGAGGCCAACCGAAGGCATCTGCGAAGATAAAAGAGCTTGCGCAGAGCAACCGAAGTAATGTTAGAAATGTGCGCATCCCATCTGAGGCTTGACGTTATCGTGACGCCTAAATATTTGTGCGCATTCACTTTTTCAAGCCTGGTGCCTTTAATGCTGTAGTCATACTGGATAGCTTCTTTTTTTCGGGTTATCGTCATGCACACTGTTTTTTGGGGGTTAATCGACATTTGCCACATGTCGCACCAGTTGGAAAGATGGTGTAAAGAATCGTTTAGTGCAAGGTGATCTGAATGACTGTTAACTTCTTTGTAAATAATGCAGTCGTCGGCGAATAGCCTAATGGTGCAAGAGATACTGTCTGTGATATCGTTAATAAAAACAAGAAATAACAAAGGCCCCAAAACGGAGCCTTGTGGTACTCCGGACGTAACAGGCAAGTTTTCCAATGGTACTTGGTCATACCGGACATATTGTGAACGATTAGTTAAGAAGTCCTTAACCCAATTTGTTAATATTCCATCTCCAATAATACTTCGAAGTTTTGCAATTAATTTGTTGTGACATACGGAATCAAACGCTTTAGCAAAGTCTAATAGTATGATATCCGTTTGCGTGCAGTTGTTAATAGATAATGCTAAATCATGAACAACTTCTGTTAGTTGCGTGGTAGTCGATAATCCGCTGCGAAACCCGTGCTGGCAAGATGACAAAACGCCATTATCTTCTAAAAACGGTTAAGTGTTTCAAAATTATATGTTCTTATATTTTCATGACGTGCTCGTTAAAGATATTAGCCTAAAGTTTGAAGGATTATCGCTATTTCCTGCTTTGGGAATCGGTGCTATTTTAGCTTTTTTCCAGTCATCTGGAAGTTTTGCTACGGCGAGAGATTTGCGGAAAACCATACCAAGGTATTTGCTGCACCATTCAGCATATCGCTTAAAAAGGGATTGGGGATGTCATCTGGTCCCGAAGATTTTTTGGGGTCTATGTCGAGCAAAAGAGAAAATATTCCTTCATCAACTACATCTATAGAGCTGATTCCAATATTATTCATGTGTGCAAGCTGTGGAATTTTCCCGTCATCTTTTGTGAAAACAGAGTGGAAGTAGTTGTTGTACATATTAGATTTCACCGTTTTCTGTTGCAACGAAAGTTCAGGACTGCTGTTTTTTCTAGGGCTGAAATGCTTCCAGAACCTTTGTGGGTTACCAGTAATGAATGACGGTAGCGTTACTTCAAAGTAATGTTGTTTTGCTTGCTTTGTTTTGGCCTTAAAGTGTGAAATAGCTGTTTTTAATTTTGATGTATTCGCACTGCAGCACTGTTTTTTTTACCGCTTTCCGAAGTCGTTTGACTTTCCGCTTTGCGTGTAGAATTTCTCTTGTGATCGAGGGGTTATGTCTTTGCGGCCGTGTACGCCGCAGTGGTATAAACTCATTCATGCAGTGCAGAACAATATGCTTGAACCTTAACGTATGCCTCTATATATGCCTGGTAAGGCTTTATATTAATTCATAATAAATTTATAATATTTCATAATAAAGAATGATCTATCTATAATTAGTAGATTAGCCTTTAACTAGGCCTAAAGCACAACTACTGTTGTGACAAGTCTCCTAATTGTTAAGTGAGAAAACGTGCATGCCGCGAAAATTCACAGCCTACCATGGAGTGGATGAGGATGAGTGCGGCGAAGCGTCCGTCCGTCTTTCAATCCATCTGTCTGTCTGCTCACCCATCCATCTGCTTTTATAACCCTAGAGCACGCATCAGACGAACGGCTGGATGGACGGACGGATGCTTCGCCCCACTCTTAAGCATTCACCCCATTAGTATTTTGTGAATTTCTTATGACAGCTTCATCTATCCTCTTTAATCATCCTCCTCAATCGTCACCTATACGAAAATCACTAATGACATTTAGTGACATTATATACAAATACATATACAAACACCACCATCTATTGAGCAATTCATTAAGTAGAGATGGCTACATGCATGCAAGAAGGTTCTATAGTATAGAACCTCCTTGCATGCATACTACATACAAACGAAGGAGGGAACGACCGACACCCTAAGTAGCTTCGCCCCTAAATAACGCCAGATCTTCACGGAAAACGCAGCAGACAGAGCGGAAGCTAGAAGAGCGCTGTTTAGAAAACCTGTCACAAACTATCTTGGCGCTACTAATACAAGTATGTTGTTTGGTACATGCCCAATGCTCAATTAATGGACTCGGTGGCCGATCAAGATGCAGAAATATGGCTGAGTACTGAATATGGGTTGGAAAGCTTTGAACGACCCACTCGTAATGCTATTCATAATGTGCGACACCAATTTAGACAAGTTCGCATTCTTTGACACCTGGTTATTTTATTTTCTTATCACATTATATTACGTATGTTAAGACGGTGTTTGCCCGACATAACGCTTGTAGAGGGTTTTTGTGCGCTGAATTTTTGAGCAAAGAAGAAAAAAAAGCGGGGTAGATGAGTGCTAGAATACTGGGCTAGCATGGAGAGGGCGCAGGTTGTGACCCCGTTCCCCCTAAATTGTTTTTTCCTCATCTTTTCATGTTGCAAATGTTTTTATGAGATCACAAGGGCGCTGTAGTAGCTGCCCACTGTCGGTGTCCGTAACCGATATCGCACGAAGTAAAAAAAAAGAATCTATGATATAACGGTGTTTGAATCTGGTTCCTCTGCGTACCAGCCTCAGTATTCTACCACTGAGCCATGTCGTTTCTTTTTTCTTCAATGCCAGACATTGCACACTTTTGCACCGCAGTACTTCCCGACTGCGGCTGATATTACGACACTATTTCTTTTCACAAAAGCAGCCATCAATGCTAACACTTTCGCCATATTCCAATTTCCGAAACACTCCCCGTAGTTTGCTCACAGACTTGGTAAAGTAAGAATTCACTAATATAATATTCACATCACAGTTTCATACAACCATGCGATTTCTCCAAATGCTACGAAGGCCAAAGAAAAAAATAGATTTCATAGGGTACAAAGTCTTGATTTGCAGTCAAGTAACGAATAACATGTAGTGTAAGTGGTAATTTTTGGGGGGTTCTTTGTGAAATATATCAAAAGAAATCGCATTTCAGCAGCCTATAAACACGTGTTGTATAGATTTAGGTTTCCTACAAAGTAAAAACTCAGTACTCTGTGGTATATACTCCCTTATTTCCTCTAGCAACGTTTTACAGGCACGGTTAACACGCAGATTAAAAAATGTTTTCACACCTTCTTACATCACCACTCGTTTCGCCCCGCCGTGGTGGTCTAGTGGCTAAGTTACGCGGCTGCTGACCCGCACGTGATTCGATCCCGCAGCCGAGATTTGGGTGCACGTTAAAAAACCCCAGCTGGCCAAAATTTACGGAGCCCTCCACTACGGCGTCTGTCGTAATCATATGGTGGTTTTGGGACGTTATACGGTACATATTGATACGAGGAAGATTTATTCATCGGAAGCGGGTCTTGCTAACGCTATACAGAGTACACAGTCATGCAGGCCAATGGGGAAGCTCGAGAGTCTAGCCCACAACAAGCACGTTGTCGTCTTCCTCCTTTTGGGTGTCATTTCAGTGCTTCTTCCGGAGCGACAGTTCCATGCACTTATCAACACCCCGGCTGGTAAGGCCCTGTCTCAGTGCCTGTTATATGAGCAATTCGGCTTCGTAGGACTTGAGACGAGAAACGTGGACTACTTCCATGCTGGGTGTAGCAACCGATGAGCTTGTGGTCGCGGAAATCTCAGAGGTCGACTGGTGTACCTGACGAAGGTCTCAATAGGGTCCGACGTATCGCGATAGTCGTTTCTCTCAGAGGCCAACACCTGGAGATGGGAGCCACAGGAGAACAAGAGAGCCCGCAGAAAAACCGGAATCTCTAAGTCGACAGTCGTAAAGGGACTTTCGTGCTGTCTGCCACAAAGATAACCGAGCGCGGGCTACCTAGCGTGCCATGAGGCCCCGGGTGA